TCAAAAGAACAAAAAACTTACCAAGTCTCTACACAGGGAACTAAAAAAAAAAAAAAAAAAAAGGTTATTTGTCCTTCTAAGTGCTGCTATAACATGGAAATACCTCAGTTGGCTTTGTAAGCATGGTGCTTAAAGAATAGGACCTCTGTTATGTGCTGGACATGAGGTATAGATCTACTCAAGGGACAGTCAAGTGCAGATCAATGCTTCTCCTTGGCTCTGGCTCTCTACTGACTTTTGGTACTACCCTCCCTAACAAGCCCAAGACAGACTGTAGCATAGGATTATTCAGCCTACCTGTATATTAGATAGCTTATTCTGAATTTACTGTCCTCAAGACTCTTTCTAGTCAGTGGAGAGAAACCCAGCAGCTGAATCATCTGACTCATTTTAAATGTCTCCTAGAATAGAAACACCCCTTAAAGTAACTATTTCTTTTCATTGGCTACACTTGGAGTTTACARTGATTAGTTCAGACTGAGATATACGAGACTCTTAAGTTGCCCCATCTAAGTCTGGGACTGATGATTCTTATGTTTAAATTTCCTTCCTTTCCACTTCTCTGCCTTTTCCAAGGCATATCTGTATCCCATTCCCAGTCAGCAATTGCAACACAAAGCAAGTCAAAAGGGCACATCCGTGTTTCTTCATCCTTTTCCCAAAATAACCCTTCAGCTGTGTCTGATTCTTCTCCTCGGTTCGACCACATCATTCCGTAGCAGTTTCCCGACCAGACACTTGCTGTCGTGGGGAGGGATCAGACAGCTGCAGGAAGATGTGCCTGCTGCACCGTGTGGTGGGGAGAGCTAAGAGTGTCCCTAGCCCCACCTTACGTGGGACTCTTCTCCTCTTATGGCTGGCATTTTCTATTTTGYTGAGGTTTCCACAGCAGCTGGTGCTACCATGCTCATTGGGCAACACCCTGACATGACCAATGACCACAGCATGATGCAGCAGCAACAGCTGTTAACTTTCATCACCAGCATAGCAGAATGTGAGTTATCCTTTCTGCATTGCAAAGAAAAAGAAAATCCATTTGATTTTGGATGGGTTAATCTAGGCTCACTGTGTCAGACCAGCTGGCTTCCTTCCGGCAWTGATGTATTTATCTCATATTACTTCCCAGCTCCAGGAACATGCTGTTTTCTCCACTTTACAGATGGATTCCTGAAGCTGAGTTCGAGGTGGCCCAGGCAACAGAGGGRGGGCTGAGGAAGTGGCATGGAGCTTGGAGACTGGGAGCTTTACCAGACTGGAAGACAAGCTGCTGCTTAGATCAGAGATGACAACACCCAGGAGCCCTTGGCTATCTAAGTCCACAACAAGCCTGTGCTGAAGGGACTCCCTTSTCTCCTTCCCAGTCTCCAGCTCTACACTGTGGGTGGAGAGTGCAAGTCCTGTCATGCTCTCTTTGCTCAGCTATCTGTGCTGAGCTACCAGTATCTCTGGTGAAGTAAGGACATCTGAAGGCTAGATAAAGGCAGTCATAAGTGCCCCAGAAAGCTTCTGTAAGCTTTCAAGGACACAGATAAACCAGCTAGATGTTACCTGTCTTACCAGACAGAGAACACAAGATATACTCAGTCTTGCTCTAGGAGGGAAAGTACGAAGTCCCAATATTGTTTTCAAGAGCCTCTGATCTAGCATGCTGKCATCTACACAGAACATGCCATGTGGAAAACAGGACTGCTGCCCATGTCACCTTCAGGCATCCTGAAAGGATTCAGAGCTTAAACCTGCCCTAGCTGCTCAAATCTTGTTGGTTCTTGGGCATTTCCTTGGACAGATCAGCAGTCTCAATGAGCCAGATACACTGAGAAAACGTCATTTTTAGCTGTGTGTAGTTCTTGGTCAGTAACTTAGGGAAGTTTAGAAGAACTCAATTCAAAGATGAACACAGAATAATATACATTTGTATCTCTGGAAGATCAGGTTAAACTGACCTGTACAACCTACTGCTGCCTTCTTCTGTCGGTGAAGTCTGTCACTACCGTGACACCCAGCTGCAACAAGATAAAACTGCTCCAATTAGCTGTGACTTTTATTCATGCATTTTACTTCTGCCTCCTAACAGGGCTGGTTCAAATTACTGATTGACACCAGTCTGGCAGCAACAGCAGCAACTGTTTAGCAGAAAAAAAACATGTGAGGGTCATTTATTTATTAGCAGGTCTGTTTATGTTACATTTCTAAAAATGTCTCAGTTTACACTGCTGGAAATATGTTAAGAGTAGATTATAAATCTTATCTTTACTGGTGGAGGTAGAATGTCAGAGGAAAGAGTGAAGCCACAAACTCTGCCACCAAGTCATTTATTAATACAGAGAACCCATCCTTAGGCAAAGCATTTAAACAATTAAATATTTTTCTTATCAGTAATATAATACAAGGAACTCACCACCCAGACTCTCTGAAGTCTGTGGTTATGCAGCCTAATTGCATAGTAATCAACCACACAGTCCATATCAGTCCAGTAAACATTTTAATTTTATTCTGTCATAGAGAAATACAGTGCTACAATACTGATTTATTAACAGGAAAAATCATGACTCAATACCCTCTTAGATTATGAGATTTAAAAAATGAGTGGTAGTTTGGGAAATAATTAAATCTTACTTACCAGCTTTTGAGTTTTTGTTTTTGTTTTTTTCTAATTTCATTTTTTTCCAGAAACAAGAGGGGTAAATACTTCAAAAACCACAGTCCACGACTCATTTGAAACCAGTGAACTTGCACGAGTAACCACATAAAGGAAGCATGGGCTCAGATTCCAAGATCAGGAGATCCAATTTCCTGGTCCATCAGTTACGGGCACTTACACTGCGGCGATCAGGCCTGGAATCCCAGCTCTGCTCTGTGTTGCAAGTAGAAGTCTGCCAGACTCAAACCTTCAACCCTGATCTTATCTTCCTGTTATCTTGAGCTCCTTTCACTTACTACGGGTAACAATCAGCAATTCAATTCCCTTTTATACCTCTAGAATCTGCTTAGAGTCTTCTGCACAGACACTTTAAGAGACTTTAAGAATTTACTTTTCAACAGTTAGCAGCACTACAAAAGGTTACCCTATCACTAAATCAGGGGAAAAAACATTTCAGTGCAGTCCCATCCCTAGTTTAAAAAAACAGGCCAAGTGATTCAGTCTCCTGCGTCTAAAATGAGAATAAAGGCACATACCAGGCACTATGTGATTTGTTGCTCCTAAATGTCCTTACATCCATATACAGAAGATTTTATGCATAGACACATAACTATTTCAAATGCAAACAAAAAACATTCCATAGCAGAGCAGAATTGTACTGAGAAACCCACCAAAAAAAACCCCCAAACCCAGGCATTTTTCTCTGTCCATCCCCTAAGAAAACAAAACACAAAATGCAACATGGTTTGGGAAAGTATTAGGAAAAAAAAACAGTGCAAAAGTTTCATTCAGATCTAAACAAAGAAGACTTTTTAAACCAAGAACTACATTTTTGCTGTGACAAACAAACTTGAGTCATCAAATTTAGTCATCTGGGGTGCCCTTATGTTCAGAAAGACAAGAAGAAATGAAATGCAAAGGAAATTAATAGTAACAGCAAAGAGCTATGACCATTTTGCAAAGCAAACTCTGCAGCCGGACACATAACTAGAAYGGTGAAACACAAGTTTTAAGGCTTAAGTAATTACCACACAACTGAGTTYCAAATTCTGAGCTTGCTCTGGAAAGGTGAAAGAGGAACTAGTAAGTTCTGACCAGATCATTACAGTATCAAACAATAAATGTCTGTTTTAAGCTTCAACACTGTTAGTGAGCACTACTCATGATGGAGGTGTTCATGTCTCCTGCTGTAAATAGGGCCGTTTTRCCACATTCATGCAAAGTTTCCTGCTCTTCCAAGGACTGGAGTTGAATGTAGGGACTATTGTATTTGATTCAGAGACAGGAGGAAGAGCCTTCTGCTCCATGAGTCCAAGAACTGGGTAATCTTCACGGCTGCAGATGTCCCTTGTCTTTTACGCCAACGGAACCATTAGCGTGATTTTTTCTCTCCCCTTGTCCACAGTGACAAATGCCAATGCAATCAAAATCTGGAAGCTTTCCATGTGAAAAACAGGAACAGAATAGTGCTAACCAAGTCAGCTGGGCTCTGCTTTCAGTGCTGACTGCRGACAAAAAAATAGCCAGCGAGACCAGCCTGCTTATAAAAGAAAGATACCAGATGCATCACAGTAACATTATGAATATCTGCTATAATCTCATACTATAGGACAGAAAAAAAAAAGGAGTTTCCACAATGAAAGCTGTACAATACTGCAGGTCTTCTTTCCTTGCATTTTAGAATGACATCATTGGTCTTTTTGTAATAGTTCAATTACAGCCTCACTTTAATGCTGCCAGAAATAAGGGACTATGAGTATTACTCCTAAGAAGACAAAAAGGTTTATTAGACACTGCAAAGAGCTACAGATGCTCTTAAAATTAATAAAGGACAGCAAATCAATCCCATTTGCTCTGTCAAGAGCTTTTAAGGTGTAACCCAGAGGTCTGAAGCTTCATTACCAAAAGATTGTTTCTGTTGCGTCTCCAAAAAATCTTACTGAAGTTTAACGACTAATACGTTGTAGGTAATGAAGCTACAAAAGTGATTACATGCTTGAGAATGAAAATACAAAATAGTTCTACCATTCGTTGAGGAGAAGACTTTGGACTCTGAAAACATATGGATCAATCCCAAGGAAGATTACTTTAGAGGCTTTTATGGAACCCAGACTGTGGATAAAAACATTCATTCGAGAGATCAAATTTCATATAGTAGCCCACTCATATCAAGAAGCAGAATGCATCTTGTAGGGTTTAAAACAAACAACTGCCCAACAAGATATACTCTGAGGAATCCTACATTAAAAATATTTGTTTTTTTTTTTTTTCTGTCATTTCTCCCTATAACCAATATCTTAAGGTAAGGCTAAAGGTATCTGAAGGCTTAAGGTATCTGGAAATGGTGATGTGCTTTTAAACCATGCAAACAGAAGAAGGGCTCCACGTGGGTTCTGTGGTAATGTAGCTTTCAAAACCTCAGTCTGGAGCTCGTTTGCCTGCTGTGCTGGTTTAAGAAAGCTCATGGAATATAACACATAATGTAAAGAGACTGTACGGCATCAGGTAACAAATCAGACTGGTTACTGAACTGTATTTGGGTGGGATTTTTTTAAATAATAAATTTGAAAATGATAGATGAAAGAACATTGAGTTGTCCAAACATTTGGACCGGATATTGTCCAAACTATTGACAGACTCACTTTGTTGCTGTACTGAAGCGAGGTGCCTCCTGGATGGAGCTTCCTTGGATTGACTCTTTTGGGTAGTGAGATTACATTTCAGGTAGCATCACCCTTCCTTTTTCCTCTCAGTTGGGAGGTCAAAGCTATTAGAGGCTGTTTTCAATAGTTGCTATGTGGCCAAAAAATCTAAGGACCTACCTAATACATAAAGAAATCAAATGTTTCCCAAACTTCTTATATCTCTGATGTCCAGAATCACAAATGAAAACCAGAATGCGAAGGTTCTGAGATAACAGAACAGAGATGGCAACTAGAAGAACAATTCCATTAAGCAAAGAGTAAGCTTAATCTAAGGCTGCCAAGAAGGCATGCCAGTTTGGGTTTGTTACCATAATACGGCACAAAAATGTTCATTTTCAATTCAGAAACTTCTAGTTAAACATACAAAAACAAGAATAAAAGTCATCGGAAGTTCTTGGCAAGAACACTAAATCAGCCCTTTAGTTTTGGAAGCTGCTTCACTCCTACAGTCTTTTTAATTGCTCCTTTTTTTGGATCAACCATCTTCTGGTTTCCTGGAACACTGCACCTTTCTCTGAAATAAAATGGGGGAAGATACTCATGAAATGTCACATTCCTTCTAAGGCTGCAGAAGCTTTGACTGATAGAAATGTTCATGCTTTTTATATTTACACAACGGATTATTATGTTAATAAACCTGAGAGGCAAAATAAGTATATTTCTGGTTTTGAGGACCAGCAGAGCATTTAATTACTCCACGTACAAACTCAGTCCTCCTCTTATTATACCTGACTACTTCCTGTTATCAAAACGAAGGCATTTGAAGAACATGAACTGAAAGGTTTTTTTTTTTTTTTTGCACAAAGAAAGCTGTCTGAGGAACTATTTTCATCAGTTACATAATTTGCATCAAGAAATCGAAAAGACACTTCTTATAGATATAGCTGCAGTTCCTTGTAGGTACATGAGTCTGGAGAACCCTGCTCTTGAGTACCTGACCTTGCTCAGGAGATGTAACATGTAAATGCTGGTAGCAGACTTCTCTGGTGGCAGTCACATAGACAACACCATCTACATGAACCCTACAAGAGCTATTTTCATCTTGATCTTGTAAATACAATCAGTGGGAACATAAACAAATCCCACAGGAAAAATGGTGATTCCACAAACTGGAAGGGTCATTCTCATGATGAAGCAGGCTGCAGCTCCAGTTTTATGCGAATTACCTCTGTATCTCTCCCTCTTCATCACTACAGTGGACAGATGCACTTCACTTACTCTAAGAGTTATATAAAGGGTTTGAATATTTCTCCTAAATAATAAGTGTTCTGAAGGAAAATATACCACAGTATCACCTCTTTATATCCATGATGATAGCTAGAGAAATATATAGTGATGTAGTAGAAGTTGTGATGACATGATCTGGGAGAGTTTAAAATTTCTGGGCAAACAGCCAAGAAAGCTGCCCCTAGGGCTCACTAGTCCTGTTCTTGAGACTAATGGTTCATCTGTTCCAGCTCTTTGGAAAAGCACGGCCTTGAAGGGAGAGCTGGCCCCACAAGGATATCATGCAGATTTCGCTTGAAGCTTTCAACACCAGAATCAAAGAATCAAATTTTTATCAGTTGATTAACCAAAGATTGCCCATTGATTATGGGCCATGGGAGAGCTGAACCCAGCAGTCAAGGTAGGCCTCTGTGCACTCTGTAGGCAGCATAAACTTCTTCGACTCACAAGCAGCTGCACTTAGGCCGGYTGCAAACCAGAAGCCAGACAGTGTGTGCCAGTGCAATACTAAAATGGAATTAACAGGCCCTGCTGTATGGGCTCAGAATGACATTACATTTGTTGCTCAAACTGTGTAACAGGTAGGAGGAATCACATTTGTTTGCCCAATGTTATTTGCACAAATGACAGCTGTCCCATTCTCTTGTTTTATAGTGAAATACCATACAAGGTCCACTACTGAAATTCTCTTCTATGTGTGAATGGTTAGTAAASAGAATGCCTCAAAAATTAGCATTCACAGTTACCATTCACAAGGGTCACAGTGCCGCTTTGAAACACAGGTTGTGTTTACCATGTATCTATCATAAAAATCCAGCATTAAAACAAACATGAAACACTCTTTCTTAGTAGAATTTGAGATCCAATGAAGGCAGGTGGATTCTGAAAGGCCAACAGAAGCGACATAAGAACTCTGGGCAGAAAAATTTGAAATTATTCTCAAGGACAGGTTTAATTTCAATTAGGCAGGTCTTCACTTACTTGAATGAAATTATTTCTCATTAATGTCAGTTTGAATGAGCGTCTTTGAAGCAGTAAATCAATACATAATTAAAAAGTGATAACATAACAACAGTTGTGTTAACCTTGTGAGTGACAATGTACATGTACTTATCACAGAATCACAGAATATTCAAGGTTGGAAGGGACCTGAAGAGATCATCCAGTCTAACCTTTCCRCTCAAGCAGGCACACTTACAGCATGKGGCACAGGGTGACATMCAGGCGGGTTTTGAAGACCTCCAGAGAAGGAGASTCCACAACCCCCCTGGGCAGCCTGTGCCAGGGCTCTGTCACCCTCACAGTAAAGAAGTTGCTCCTCACCTGGAGACGGAACTTCCTGTGCTCCAGCTTGTGGCCATTACCCCTTGTCCTATCRCTGGCCAATCCTATCGTCCTATCGCTTATACCTAGTGTTTCCTGAAAATAATGACTATGCCAAATGCCCTTTCCTATGTCTACGTTGCCAACAATGTTTGAACTTTGGTCATTGGTTATAAAAGCCAGTGTTTTCAAAACCAAGTAGTCCTTAATGTTAACAATGTCAAATTCAAGGATGGAAAAATTCCCTTCATTTGTGTAAAGGACTTTGAAAAGTGAAGAGAAAAAAAAATCTTCTGAGGGCGAGTGGGTGAAAGGGATATTTTGTTACAATATGCATCTTCTGAGACCAGTAATTACAGAGAATTATATTTTCATCTGTTTATTATAAAGAGAGTTAGAGACACACCCTGCCATATAGCTGTGGGGTAAGTAATGATCTGCTAAAATAAATTAATAAAAATAACACAGCAACAAGAAAATCCCAACAGATAATCATAGAACAGTATTATTTCTTGGCAAATCCCAATATCTGGCTGATGGTATTTAGTCGCCCTGCAGAGACAGGGAATTTTCCTAGTCCTAACTTCCCATTCTCCTCCACAGGAGCTATGTCAAACATGCACAGGGCTAGAACCAACACACTGGTGCTGTATGGGGATCCTCAGAGTCACACAGTGCTTGTTCGATACTGAGGAACTTGAGTTGTAGATATCAGCCCATGCTCTACCAATATCCATCCCCTCCTGGAGTGTGAAGCTCCAGTGCAGCAGAAATCCTGCCATTCTACAGATACAGTATATTCTGCACATATAGAACGGATAAACCAGGTAAGCAAGTGCATCTATACAATTCATGTTTATAATATACTCACTATGTTTTTAGTGATGTTGTCAATATATTTTGTGTATGCTTGTTTAAATAATACAGTAAGTTTTGAGTTTTGTTTGAGATTGATAGAAACCATAGGAAGTCCCCAAACAGAAAATACTTGGAAAGTATTACAAGTAAATATTTTATCTGACTACTTTGTTTTCATAGAATTTTGAGGGAAATCTACTTTTAGCAACTGAAGGCTGGATCAACATACTTCTCATCTGATTCTCTGTGTTCTTAGTACTCTATGATGTCCTTGATGTTCTTTAACTGGTCTTGTTCAGATCAAATGAAAAATAAATCACCTTCAAATTAAAACTTTCTCACAAGGACTATGACTAGAAATATAATTTATTTYTATATAGCACTAACTTGGCTCTGTTCACATTTAATTTTTTAACCCATTTAACTATATCCTCCTTTGCTTTGACCAGAAATCTTTTGAACAATTAAGCCTTTACACTTCGCCATCTAAAATCATTTCACATTCTTATCCACAAAAAGCTTTACAACCTCTGCTGACTAAAAAGATCCAGGCTAAGCATTTAATTTAGTTACTCTTAATGGACTAGAAGGCATATTTTTTGCTGAAACTCTGCAGTAATTTAGAAAACAATAACTCACTTTTAGAAGAGGCTGATAGAATATCAAAGTATTGTCAGATTCCAAAAAGGCTGCTTACGTATTTCAGTACTCCATCTTCAATCTTGCAACATATGTAAATGAAACCAACTGTAATGAAGTACTAAAATTATCTTAAAAATCCATATTTTAATAGTATGAAAGGGAAGTTACAATTTCCTGTTTACTGAAAGCAAAAAAATAATAAACCAGTAAACAGAAGGGATATAAAAGAAACTTACTTTGGTTCCTTGTTTTCTCTCTTCCCTGTCATTGCATCTGTTTTTTGCCTTTCAAGAAGTTTAAGTGTAGCTGAGATCTGTAAGAATCAATTTTTTTACAAAACAAGTTAACTCCTAATCACAGTCATAGTTACGGAAGTAAAATACTTCCCAAGTAATTTAGACCAGCTATGATCTTAATGCAGCAGAGTACTTTAGGCACATATTATACTGATATCTTGTTGATTTGGGGACTGAAATACTGTTTGCTGAAGAACTCCAGTGAAGATCATCGCAACTATGATTTGTCACTTGCAATTTTATGATACATTAGGCAAGGCCTATTCTATAACTGCTTTGACAGATATTTTTACTTATATTGGTATTACTTCCACAATATAAAGAATTAATATCCATTGCTAAGCTTTTGCTGGCAAAGTTTACTCCAGGCCTATCCCAAATAAAATGAGCCACAGTAGCATGAACTATTTTCCAGGGGTAATATCTATAATTATGGTTTGGTTTGTATTTTCCTGCAAAACAATCTTAGTCGCAAGTGTCTACTTGTCTACTATGTGTCTTTTAGTAGACAAGTGTGTGTGTGCACAAGTGTTCTATGTGTTGCAAGTGTCTTTTACTGTCTACTGTGACAGTAAAAGATAATGATAAAAAAATCTTTGGAATATATGGAAAATATTAGCTTACAGTAGATCTCTCTCTCATTCAACTGCTGCAACTTTACAACAAAGACTCTAGGACAGTGAAATTTTAATATAGCCAAAAAGAAATCTGAGCTGAACATAAAATTTATTTATGTTTCCATTGCTAAAACAATCTGTTAAAACTGAAAGCGTACATCTGCGATTTTAAAATAACATAAAAGCTACATCTCAAGAAAGCATTACCTCAATTCATAGAAAAATAGGACCTGAAGGGGACAGGGAAGCCAATGATTCTTCTGCAACCAAGAATCAACAATAAGGCTGACTACCATGTTCGAATTAGTCAAGTGAAAGGTAAATGTCTAATCTAAATCAATTATGTAGGCTCTCTTTACAACTCAGGAAGAGAGACAGATAACTCAAGGAAATCATTTCATCTTAACCTAAAACATGTGTGGTGGTTTGTGCTTTAAACATGCATATCTCTCTCCGCACATTACAGAGAGTCCTTCTACAATGACTTTAGATTGAATGCTTAACATTCAGAGAGCTAAAGCTAGACAAAATGAATTTGAAGATGATTRTTTTGTCCTAAAATTATTTTGGAGTAATGAGATTAATTACTGAAAATGTAAGCACTAACTAACTTCAGCGTGGGTGGCAAAATCCTAGTCCCTAATGCCCTCCCTAATGCATATTTCTCACTTCAAACAATGTTTTATAAATGTTTAAGTATAGCTGAACATAATTTAAGAATGCAGAGGACACCCCTCTTGCTAGCATATTCAGTAACAAACTCATTTTCCTCCTTCTACATTTCCCAGTGTCACTGCTAATACGAAGAAATTAGCAGTTATCATTGGCATTTTCTGAGATTTTACTTGGCCAAATGTTGGAAAACTAACTTAAGTAATTCTTTCAGATTCTCCAAGCAGCAATAAACCACACAAGTGAATCACTTGACTGCTGTGCAAACACACGAAAACATTGCTAATTACACCTTTCACCCCAATTAGCTATGCCAGGCGTTCAGTGACAGTCGTTCTACTGCATAGGTCTTGAGTATCACACTATGCTATTACTTCTACATTATTCAAGAATKAAGAGCTCTTTCTGCATAAGAAGTACTAGAAATCCTAAAAAGTTCCTCACAATTCATTTTAATCACTTTTATGTATCATATAATTCGTAGTAACAAAATCTAATATCTGAATTCATAACAATAAGGTATCATCTCATCCCTTCTATTGTAAATTTAATTGAAGTATTTACTGTTTTGTCATTCTGATTTGACAGGCTAATTTGTCTTTAAAGGGAAAAAATAAAAGAGTGAACATGAAAAGGAGGAAATAAATCTTAACATGAGTGTCACTGCTGCTAATAATTTTGTTCTTTTCAGCAAAAACATTAACCAGCAGCATGGTATTCTCATGACTCTCATGGTGGACAAGCATTAGAAGTTGCTTCAGCTTTCTCAGTGAAGATRCTTTGATCTCTGTATGGTAGATGACTTTGATATGGTAGATGGATACAGGGATAACACTGTGAATTTTGCCTAGTAGCATTAGTAACTGCTGTATTAAGAGAGCATAGTGATTTTTAAAAGCTAATGAGTTACATAGTTTTTCTCACCTGTAAGATCTCAGAGAGGTACAGGCGCCGCTCCTCATTGGCTTTGTGGTAAGCCTATATTCAAAATAAGGAATGCATTCTATAATTAATCAAAATATTTTAAAAGCTGAATCATAAGGGAAGAAGCAAGCAAACACCAGAACATTTTCAGTGATGCACTCTCGGTAAGCTCACAGACAATAGAAAACTTGGGAGAATGCTGACGGTCCCGTTCAGAGGGACCTCAGTGTGCTGGAGAAATGGGAAGAGAGGGACCTCATGAAGGGTCAGTCAAGGAAAAGGCCGGGTCCTGCACCTTAGGAGATACAACCCCATGCACCAGTACAGGTTGGGCACCATCTTGATGAAAGTAAATTGGCAGACAAGAACTGATGGTCCTGACAGACAGCAAGAACATGAGCCACCAGTGTGCCATTATGGCAAAGGAGGCCAACAGCCTCCTGGGCTGGGCTGTTGTGTCCAGTTCTGGGCTTCCCAGTACAAGAATTTACTGAGGATGCCCAGTGAAGGGCCACAGAGATTAAGGGACAGAAGCCTCTCATATAAGAGGAGAAGCTGRAAGAGCTGGGTCTGTTCAGCCTGTTCAGCCTGAACTGAAAGTTCAGGGAGATCTTACCAATGTGTATAAATAACGGCAAGGACAGAAATATCTGACAGGGTAGACTGAAGGTGATGGGGCCAGRCTCTTCTTAGTGGTGTGCAGGAATAGGACAAGAGGCACAACGGTCACAAACCAGAACACAGGAAAATCTGTCTGAAGATAAGTCAGGATGACAGAGCACTGGAATACATTGCCCAGAGGGATTATGTAGTCTCCATCCYGGAGATATTCCAAACCTGACTGGACATAGTGATGAGCTAGTCTAGACCCTGACTGAGCAAGCAGGTTGGAYYAGACAATCTCCAGAGGTGCCCTCTGACCCCAACTATTCTGTGACTCTGAGATATCTTGTGTCTGCTCCACAAGTTTAGACTTCTTGCTGGACACCAAAATGGCTTTTATGGATTAGAGGCGTTCAGTGTGTACAAACCTTGGCTTCTTGTTCCAGTCTAAGTCTATAGTCTTTTAGCTGGTTCTGGAGACTTCGTTTTTCTTCTTCTAGTTGTTTAAGGACCTGCTTTAAGGAACCCTGTGATTATAGTAAACAAATAAATATTTTACACGTATGCCTATTCTGTATAAAGACAGTCAGAAATCATCACCACAGTCCCTGCTCTTCAGGCACTACAATGTTTGTCATTCTATCTGCTTATTATTCACTTTTTGTTTACAGGATTCCTGCTGGCACATCTAGAGACAAAAGTGATTAGCCACATGCTACTATTATCAGTGATGTATTACAGATTTCCGCTGTGTTAAAATGACATAGATTTATCTACCCTGCTGCTCCCTACTTGGCAAGCTAAACCACCTTGTGACCATTCAGAATCACTCCCTACTTTTAATCCAAGTTCATTCCCATGGCTATTTTTTACTATTTCAAATCCCACCTGGAGATCCATTTTGAAACCACTTACCAGGAGAGCTGATGGACTGACTGAAGAGTTATGTAACATGTCAGAAGTAACTCACAATAACAGAATCTCGAATTCACAGAGTTGCAGAATGGTTGAGGTTGGAAAGGACTTCTAGAGACCATCTAGTCCAACCCCCTGCTCCAGAAGGGACACCCAGAGCATGTGGCACAGGGTGGCAGCCAGGYGGGATTTTCAGACCTCCAGAGAAGGAGAGTCCACAACCTCCCTGGGCAGCCTCTTCCAGGGCTCTGTCACCCTCACAGGAAAGAAGTTCTTCCTCACATGGAGATGGAACTTCCTGTGTTTCAACTTGTACCCATTACCTATTGTCCTGTCACTGGCCATCAGCAAGAAGAGTTTGGCCTCATCCTCCCTACATTCTCCCAACTCTTTGAACATATTGATTAGATCCCCTTCTCCATCTCTCGTCTTTTCCAGTCTAAATAGGCCTAGCTCACTTAGTCTTACCTCATAAGATAGATGTTTGACATTTCTTGCTAACAGATTCCAAATGGGCCTTGGCCTTCCTTAGTGCATCTCTGCATTCTCTGACAGCTAGAAAGGAGCATGTTTGGGGGCAATTGTCTTACATGTACAGCCATTTACTTTGTCTACAACTGGGATGAATGGGAGTACCAGTGGTAGAGTCCAGTTTGGTTACTGGACAGTTCTTTTCTGTGTGATCAGAACACACTGAGCGCATATTCCCAGATCTGACTTCCTCAGTTTTTATCACAGGCAACTGTTTCTCATAATACCTTTCAGAAATTGGTCCGCTCCATCCACTATATGCAGTTTTATTGGGAAGCTCTAAAATTTGGCATCCTTCCCTCAAATTTTTGGCATTCCTTGCCTCAAATTGTTTACAATCAGTTTATACCTATGTCTTCTCACATTGTTCTTTAAGGCAGTTGCTCTCTTCCTCCCTGGTGCTTGTCACCAAGATGTGTATATGGAAAACAAGAACATGTTTTTTTCCAACATCGAATTAGATAGGAGAAATAAGCTGGGCTTTTAAAAATCATCTCTCACATAACAGACTGCCCTTTCACCTGATCATCACAATAGCTCTGTAGTGGCCAATAAGTTTGAGCTCACCCTTTTTAATCATGGAAAAGCAGACCTGTGGATATAAGTTGAGAAGCCATCTCACTGCCTCCAGCACAGGCAGTCATAATGCTTCTTATAATGGTTATTTGTATAGGAAAATTTCAGGTTTTTATTTTAATGCTTTGTTAGGCTCTTATTTAATACTTTTTTCCTTTCCTACACATGAAGAAAAAGAGGTAACATGGATCTGTTCAAGTATTCATTCTTTTTTGTGTGCAATTTTTCCCCTATTTATCATGCAAACCCCATCTCTGGAAGGCCATATAATCTATTTCTCAGAAAACTGTTTCTGAGTATTTGCCAAAGGTCAGAAAGTCCAAAATCAAATTTTAAGTCTTGGTCTTCATGTTTTTTTATAATAGTTCCTTTCTTTCTTTCTTTGGTAAAATCACTTCATCTTCCACTTTTTTGTGGGCACTTTTCCAGCCTTGAACAGTCATTTTTGTCTGTTCTGGAGTGAACTTGAAAATGTCATTTGTCATTACATGAAAGATTATGTCATTCTCATAAAGAGTCTTGTCATTTCAGATCGATAACTTATATTCTTGACCTTGAACATTATCAAGCCCTTCTATTTGTTGCATCTGTGAAGTAATAGTCCTGCCAATGATTTCTAACATCTACCAAACATACACATCTGCCTCTTCTGTTTGAAATCTCTAGTGTTCTCCTTTCTATTACCTGCAGTTCACTCTTTTATTTTCTCTGATAAYCTTCTATACGTCATTTTTGTTCTTTACTCAGCTACAAACTTTATTTTTCATTAAAGAAACTGTGTTACCGAGATTCACCTAAGAATGATTTTCATTAAATTCAGGATTTTGCAGTAGCATGGTAAAAGAGGAAGTGCTTTTAAAAGATGAGCCAAGAGAAAATAACCCTTCCTATTGATTAAAAAAAAAGAAATAGACAAAAGCAATAGAAGAGCTAAATATTTTAAGAATACTTCAGCTATAACTGAATTGTTATTAACTTATCTGTTAAATTATATCTGTTACAAGAGACACATCAGAGCTTTTTTGTTGTTGTTGTTGTTTGTTCTTCTCCTAATTAAAGCAGAAATACCTCAGATGCAGATGAAACTTTTGCCTTAATACAGAATTCTTCTACATTTAATATAGTCAGAGTTGGACGATTCCGGGAGAAAAAGTAAACTKCATCTTACAGAGACACTTGGCTAAACTGCACTAGAGTCATGTGCTGTTTCATTAGGACATCAATGTCTGTACAGAGACAAAGTCCTGTACAGAGAGAAGCCTTCAGCACTGCCAGGATACTAATTAATTTGGCAGCYTTGATACAACTGCATCTTAAAGGATTATAACTATGTGACCTGCCTATAACATATTTTGTATCACCACAATAAAATTAAAYACAGTAAATACAGATATTCATACTTGCTCTGTGCAAATTCAGGTACTACTACTTATTCCCACACTAGATTGTCCATCAGTGATATGTAAGACAGCAAGACCTAACTTTGCAGCTGTAAGTCATGACAGACCATTTARTATTTTCTTAGTGATGCTACTGGCCTAAATTCCTTGAGTTTTTCCACCTTAAGAGCTAGTTGCTTTTAGATCTTTTTACCTTTTTCAAAAATGTTTTCAGAAATGTTGTCCATTTTTTGCTGCCAATGCAGCTGGTTCAATGCAGATGCCAGCATACTGATCCAACTCCGGAGGAATGATGATATCCAGATGCAATAAAAAGCCTGTACCATTCACTGTACCATTGCTTTGATCAGCAAGCAGATAGAATTAAGTTAATAGTGTGACTAAAATATATGGTTGCCATTTCTACAGTGTCTGCATGTCTCATAATTTGACAGTGAATATCCTCACAATAATTCTGTGAATTGAAAAGTGGAATTAGAAAGTGGAATTATTCCCAAGTTACAGATTGGGAAATGAAGCTCAAAATACAAAAGGAACTTACCAGTCTAAATTGCCCTTCAGTGGGATTTTTACATCCCATTTCTAGTAAAGGAATCTATGCAGCGCCTTATATTCTTCACATCTGTTTTTATCATAAAACTTAGGGAAACATCTGAACTGTTGTTACTGCACTTGCCCATAGGCAATACTAAACTACTTAGTTTGCTGCTGAAAACCCTTATGGAGTTTCAGAGCCAAGTTTCCCATTGGCTGTGCTCCTCATGGGACACAACGTGATACGCATGCTCATGCATGCTCACATGAGGGAGGAATCCTCTTCTATCTAAAAATTAAGCTCAAACAGAAACTAGCAGACTTAGATTTTTGTCCTCTATAACGTCAAGAATGTGAATTTAAATCAACTCATATCTTGGGAGTGCTTTCACCATTAGAGTTAGGGCAGTGACAATTCCTGAAGTCAGGCCACTATGAAGTCAGKAATGCAAAATTTGCAGGGATAGATGGAGAAGAAACAAGTGAGAATAAACTCTCCTACAGCTCCAACAATGAAACTACTTCCTAAGATGAAAGTAATTTAAGGCCTTTTTACATATGTCCTCTAAAGACTCTTGAATATAGAAAGCACAAGCAAACCATGGAATCCCAGACATTATCTCCTTTTCCCCATGGAAAACGCCCTCACTACTGCATTGCCTGGGTGATTGGTGTTTGTTCTCTTTGGCCTCTTCCCATATGAAGAAAGAGTTYCAGCTCTGAATATCAGTTACAACAGGATGTCTAACTCATATCTGCAGGATGATGCCTATTCCTTGTAAGAAGACAGCATTTCAAACAAAACTCTTGGGCATTTCTTACCAACCTCCCATTGTCATTTCAGCTCTTTGCACTCTGAGTAATTCCAAACTAGATGCCCTTCTCTCAGTTAATAAGGAGGRAACTTAGACACTTAGCTCAGCCTTCTGACTTCAGTGTCTGGAACCAGGAATTTAGGTGTTGCAGTGCTCAGCAGCACTATGTCATGTAGCTATTACTGCTCAACTAACAGATCTTTCCAATTCGCAACAGGGCAAAATGCTRTTTCAATATGTTTGCTATTACAACTAGCGAAAGTGTAAAAAGGGCCATTTTAACAAGGACTTGTGATAAGTTATGTCTCGCTCCACCTGCCAATGGAGAAATTGAAGAGCTTGCTGAGACTTTGTATATATGAATGTATATAGGTATGTTTAKCTGTACAGCTAAACACAATCAAAACACGAGAAACAACAGCATAGGAAAGCAGTCAAATCATTAAGGGATGTATTCACCTTTATGGAATCCTATCAAAAACAAGTAGAAAAAAATCACTGAAGCAGATTTAGTTCCTGATGCTCATAGTCATGTGATCATCTTAGTGCATTACACAGTAAAATCACAATAGAGCAAAAGCTCACAGAAAACAGAGCTTAATGCAAAYAGTGACACAAAACTGTAGCACAGTTCTAGGTGTATGGAAAAGCTCCAAAAGCAAGAACCAGGAAGAGATGGAAAAAAACTCAATGGGCTTCTTGTTGTGTAGTACTGCTCAAGAGTCGCCAAGAACTCCAAGGTGAAGCAGTAGGATA